GGTCAAGGCTGCGGTGGCTGGGAGCGGCCACTGCACTCCAGTCTGGGTGACAGAGTGAGACTCCAACTCAAAAAAAAAAGAAAATAAGCAGTGGTTCTCAAAGTGTGATCCCAGACCATGGCATCACTTGAGGACCCGTGAGAAATGCAGATTTCATATCTTACTCCAGTCCTTCTGAGTCAGAAACTCCAGGACAGTTTCATGTTTTAACACACCTCCCGGGTGCTTGTGATGCATGCCAATGTTTGGGAACCCCTGCTTATGGGTTGCGTTCCCCTTGTGAGGTTTCTTGCCATCTCTAGAAGCTCCGAAGTGGTCCCTCAGTCCTCCTCCTGTATAAAGAAGGATGGAAGGTAAAAGTCAATTCTTGACTGGGTGCAGTGGCTCACGCCTGGAATCTCAGCACCTTTGGAGGCCAAGGTGGGAGGACTGCTTGAGCCCAAGGAGTTCAAGGCCAACCTGGGCAACATAGCAAAGACCTGCCTCTATGAAAAATAAGAATAAAAATTAGAATAAAATAAAAATAAGAATAAAAATTAGAATAAAATAAAAATAAGAATAAAAATTAGCCAAGCATGGTGGCAAACGCTGTAGTCCCAGTTACTTAGGAGGCTGAGGCTGAAGGCTCGCCTGAGCCCAAAAGTCTGCACTGCAGTTGTAAGTCTGTCACTGCACTCCAGCCTGGGCGACAGAGGGAGACTCCAACTAGACAAAAAAAAAAAAAGCAAATTCTCATCTGTCATTCGCCTGTGGGGTAAGTGGTCTTGAACATCTCCAGGAAGTGCTGTGCTGAGTGGAGGCAGGTTGGTTCTTGAGACTTACGGCTCCATAGAAGGTGGGTGTCAGGTCAGGAACGAACATCTCTGGGTAGATGGTGTGCAGGTACCAGGAAAAGTTGTGACAGTGTAGCCGTTCCCGCAGCTGCAGTCGTTCCGAAATGTCCCCGAAGGATTGCTGTCAACAAAGTCAGCCCCTCCAAGGGTCAGTTCCACTAGCCTTGGACTTTCTGGTCTGGGCCGAACAGGCCAGACAGCATGAGCTTCTGGGGCCACATTCCCTCATGCTCATTCTTGTTGGGGTCACCAGCTCAGTCTCACACCCAACCCCAAAACTGCCTTGGCTTTGGGACCCCCCCCATAATCCCCACTCCCTCATCCCCTGTAACTCCTAGTCAATTCCCTCCCAGTTCCCAGTTCTGAGCTTTACAGAGCCAACCCTCGGGTAGAAGGCTCTTGCCCAAATCCCCTCCCCTTTACCTTCCCTCCCCTCCCCTTCCCTTTCCAAGGGATACAGGGACTTACAGGTAGGGACAATATTCTCTAGCCTTCAAGATCTCCATGCCCTGGGCCCTTTCCTGGGCTTCGCTCACAGAGCTCTGAGGGTGAAGGGGGCCCCAGATGGTAGCGACGGGGTGGGCCCTGGCCATGAAGCCCGCATCGGGACTTGTACTTCTCATCTAGATCCTTCTGAGCACCATCTCCTCTCACCTCTTGGACCATCTTTGCTGCCTGCTGGTTTCTCCTGTAGAAAATCTTCTTGTAATTGTCCATCCAGACCTCAGCCAGACGCACTTGGTTGCGAGCGATGACGTTGGTGCCCTTGGGGAAGGTGTGGGGGCTCTTGGTACGGAACACGTGGCCTACCACAGAGCAGGGGATGATCTCCAGCTGGCCCCCACACTGCCACACCTGGCATCAGAGGAGACAGGAAGGACGGGGCCTTCAGAAGGGTGAGCAGGACCATCTCCCCACAAGCAGCCTGTTCTGTGGCCAGGGCACCAGACCCCAGGTCCGAGGACTTGGGCAAATATTTGGACATCGCCTAGACTTCTTCCTAGGCCATGACTACACAGCCCCAGGCGCTCTGATGTTGGTTCACTCATAAGTAAGCAAATGGAGATTTGCAGGGTCCTGAGGTTATCAGGGCCCAACTTTAGGGAAAAGACTGCAGGTCGGCTTTTCTTACCTGTGTCTGTATCCCCTACTCTGAGTACTTGGCTTATTGACTTGCAAATGTGATTTATCAGCTTGCCCAGGTGTTACTAGAAACTCATGCTCTCCCAAATCAGAGCACAAATGAAGGACAGTCAACAGCCAGGTGGCCAGTGATTGTCACCTGGACCCTTAGCATACTCGCTTCCTAGGACAGAGAGTGAACAGAGACAGGCTCATTGAGGAGCCTGGAGTCAGCATGCTGGCAGTTAGGGTGACTGGCTGGTGACCCTCTCCAGGCCAGCAGCCTGGTTTAAGCCATCCCTCCCCCAGTCTCTTCTTTTGGGTAGGCATTTGTTATTCATTTTAGAATAACATGATGGGAAGGCATTTGTTATTCATTTTAGAATTTGCAGCAACATATGGTAACAGCATCAGCATCATCACCATGGTAATAGGAACAGCAGGTGTCAGTTAAAGGCTTAACACGGGCCAGACACTGTGAGAAGTGGCTTCATACATGAGCACCTCTGCTTGCTAGTTGCTTTTCCACGGCATGGGGATTTGCGTAGGTTTTGTGGACAGGCCGTCGTTCCTTCCTGACATAACTCTGATGTGCCCAGCTCCTGGAATCCCTCAGACTTCTGGCACCCACCAGAACCGGGGCCACCAGCTTCTCCCCCAGGCACGAAGAGCTTGTTGAGCACAGGTAGGGCAACTCCAAAGGCCACCAGGGCATGCGTCCTTGGCCTTGGGAAGGGGAGCCTGACTTGTCTGGAAAAAGGACGGTGCCTGGCTACTGACCACCTTCACCCTGTCCCTTTTCCCACAGACACCCCTGAGGCCACCGCTGCCTGGGAGCTGCTTCTCAGCCGTCCCCTGGGGCGTTGTGGTCCCCCGAGCCCTCCTCACTCTCACCCGGAAGGACATTTCCACGTTTTCCCCTCCCCAGATCTCCATCTGATTATCATAGGTACCGATGTGCTCAAAGTAGGACTTGGAGATGGAGAAGAGGCCACCGGCGAACGTCGGGGATCTGGAGAGACAGAGGGAGGGAGATGCATGTGCAGCTTCTGGGGGAGGAGTAGGCGCCTGGCAGGGAAAGTTGACTGCGGACACCCCTCTTGGCCTTCTCAACCACCCCCCACCTTTGCTCCTTCCCTGGGGAATCCAGCCCCTCTCCCACTCAGTCACTCACTCATTTAGCTTTCACTGTGTCCTCTTTTCCTTCCAGGACCAGGTTAAAGATGTAATTATCACTCCTCTCCTCTAAAAGGCACTCATTCATTCGTTCAACCAAGGATGTATGAAAAACCGTGCATGCTGGACACACAGAGCTCAGAGACAGAACCCATTCCCCGAGAGTTCGGTCTAACAGCAGAGGTTGAAGCTACCACAGGTTACCTTTTGGCAGCGAAATGCCTGGAGCATAGGAGATGCTCAATTTTCAGAAGGTGCATGAAATTGAAATAGGCAGGATTCAAACCATGGATGAATGAATGAGTGAATGAATGTCATCAGTTGGGCTGACCGCATTCTGTTTCAGGAACTATAAAGCCACAGTATTAGTAAGAGCCTAATCCTGGTGCCTTAACTGCAGGAGAAACTTGAACTTTGAAGAGAAGGTACCCGTGGCTTTGAACAGGGGAAACGGATCAGGTGCTGCTGGAAACAGGGTGGGAAGTGAGGTGAGATCAAACTCAACTTGGACTCTAGGGAGTATCTGAGAGGTTACAAAAAGATTCTGGCTTTCAGACAAAGGTAGGGAGGCACAGACCCAAGTTAAGATGCTTTTTTTTTTTCTTGAGTCAGGGTCTCACTCTGTCACCCAGGCTGGAGTGCAGTGGCACGATCACAGCTCACCACAGCCTTGACCTTCTGGGCTCAGATGATCTTCCACCTCAGCCTCCCAAGTAACTGGGACTACAGGTGTGCGACACCACACCTGGCTATTTTTTTTCTTTTTGTAGAGACGAGGTCTCACTATGTTGCCCAGGCTGCTTTCGAACTCCTGGCCTCAAGCAATCCTCCCTTGGCCTCCCAAAGTGCTGGGATTACAGGCACGAGCTACCGTGTCTAGCCAAATTAAGATAAATTGACAAAAATATCTCATTCCTAGAATTCAGATACCAGGTTTCTCATCAAAGGACCTGGGCTGTTCTCTGGTCTCGGCCGCAGAAACGAGATGACAAAGGGAACATCATCCTTTGGAAAGTGTAGCAATAAGATGCACACGCTGTGCCGCTGCTGTGGCTCTAAGACCTACCACCTTCAGAAGTCGACCTGTGGCAAATGTGGCTACCCTGCCAAGCGCAAGAGTAAGTATGACTGAAGTGCCAAAGCTAAAAGACAAAATACCACCGGGACTGGTCGGATGAGGCACCTAAAAATTGTATACCACAGATTCAGGCATGGATTCCGTGAAGGAACAACACCTAAACCAAAGAGGGCAGCTGTTGCGGCATCCAGTTCTTCTTAGGAGTTTCAACAATTAGTCACACAATAAATGTTTTGGTTTTCAAAACAAAACAAAACAAAACAAAAGGACCTGGGTTAAGAGACTACCCAAGTAGACAAGGGGAAGTATAAGCAAATTGGAAGGCGGGGGTGGGGACTGGGAGACCGGCAGGAGCACACAAGCTTAGCTGTTGGCTTCTGCGTCTGGCCCAGGCTGGCTCGGAGGGGGCTTTGCTGCCCTCTGTGGGTGGCTTCATGCGGTACAACCAAGCCAAAATATACTGAACTATACTGTGACCCCAGAAACCATCAAGATGCCTTGTACAGAGCCAGGGCGCAATCAGCTTCACTGATCTGTCAAGGTGACTAACAGTGACTTGGCCGTGGTGCTACCCTGTGGCTGCTCCTGCTGCCCCAAAGTTGGCTCCTGCAGCCACTTTCTGGAAGGAATTTCAGCCTGGAAACCCTCATGCTCCAGCTGGTTTCCTGTCACTGGTTCTGGCCTCTCCCAGGGGTCTTAAGCCAGCCCAAGTCACGTCCTGACAGGCTCAGAGAGTCCTGGAAGGCCTGGACTAATCTCCTTCCACTGGAGGGCCTCCCCCACAGCGCCCTGTCTCTTGTTTTTGAGAGGTCTCCTAGACAGAGAAGTCACAAATTACCTATGAGGCCGGGTGTGGTGGTTCATGCCTATACTCATCGCAGCACTTTGGGAGGCCAAGGCGAGAGGATTGCTTGAGCCCAGGAATCCGAGATCAGCCTGGGCAACATAGCAGGACCTCGTCTCTAAAATAAAAAAAAAGAAAGGCAAGCCCAGCTGGGCATTAAACAGTAGATTAACTTTCAACTATCTACCCTAGCTGCCTGTTTTTATAAGGGCAAAATCCCAGGCAGGTGCGGTGGCTCACACCTGTAATTCCAGCACTTTGGGAGGTGGAGGCGAGAGGACTGCCTGAGCCCAGGGGTTTGAGACCAGCCTGGGCAACATGGCAAGACATCATCTCTACAATAAATAAAAAAATTATCCAGGCATGGTGGCACACACCTGCAGTTCTAGCTACTTGGAAGGCTGAGGTAGAAGGATCATCTGAGTCTACCAGGTCGAGGCTGTGGTGGCTGTGAGCAACATGTAACTGAGCTCCAGCCTGGGTGACAGAGCGAGACACTCACTCAAAAAAAAAAAAGGGCAAAACCTGATTTTTACATGTTAATTAAGTTAATTAATCTTATTTTATTATTATTTTTTGAGTTGAAGTCGCTGTTGCCAGCCTGGAGTATAGTGGCACACTCACAGCTACTGCAATTTCGACCTGCTGGGCTCAGGCGACCCTTCCACCTCAGCCTTCCAAGTAGCTGGAACCACAAGCACATACCAGCACACCTAGCTCATTTTTTGACTGATTGTAATGACGAGATCTTGTTGAGTTTGCCAGGCTGTTTTCGAATCCCTAGGCTCGGGCAACCCTCTTGACTCTGCCTCCCAAAGTGCTGAAATTATAGGCATGAGCCATGGTGCCTGACCTATTTATTTATTTTAACAGAGACATGGTCTCACTGTGTTGTCCATACTGGTCTCAAACTCCTGGTCTCAAGCGATCCTCCCACCTTGGTCTCCCAGTGCCGAGATTACAAGTGTGAGCCACCATGCGTGGCCGGTCTTCACGTTTTTGAAGGATTGTAAAAAGAAAAAATAAATAAAACAAAGAAGAATATGCAACAAACCATATATGGCTGACAGAGCCTAAAATATTTACTATCTTTTTTTTTTTTTTTTTTTACCAAAAAAAGGTCCAGATAGCCGGGCTCGGTGGCTCAGCCTGTAATCCCGCGCTTTGGGAGGCTGAGGTGAGTGAATTGCCTGAGCCTGCGGGTCCGAGACCCGCCCGGGCAACTTGGTGAGACCTCATCTCTACAATAAATAAAAAAATTAGCCAGGCGTGGTAGCACGCGCCTGTAGTTCCAGCTACTCGGAAGGCTGAGGCGGAAGGATCGCCGGAGCCCAGCAGGCGAGGCTGCGGTGGCCGGGAGTGGCCACTGCACTCCAGTCTGGGCAACAGAGTGAGACGCCAACTCAAAAACAAAAAAACAAAAAAAGTTCCAGGAAATTGCAACAGAAACTCCAAACTGCAGAAAACGTATCTATTTTCTTTTACCATGTCTTTTGAAAGACAGTGACCTGGGGGCACACACCACCCTCCTATTACCACAGCTATTTCACAATGGCTTCCACCTACATTCCTCACCCTCTCTGCCAGCATCCGTCATTTCCTTCCATCGAAGGGAGCAATTCACAGGGTGAAGTACGGGAAGCCCTCCGTCCACGCAGTGAGTGGTGAGTCAGAGCAAGCTATTCTGCAGTGAGGCTGCAGCGCCACGCTCAGACAGGCCCGGAGGGGGACTTGCTCCACCATTTGCTAGCCGCGTGATCTGAGGTCAGCACTAATCACCGTGAGCCTCAGTGTTCTCACCTACAAACCAGGTTTGTCCTAGTACCCGCTTCACAGGGAGTGAGGATTAAATAATGTATGTCACTGCTTGATAGAATGCCTAATAAATGCTTTTTTTTTGAAGTCAGGGTCTCACTCTGTTGCCCAAGGCTGTAGTGTAATGGCATGATTCCAGCTCACTGCAGCCTCAACCTCCTAGGCTCAAGCCTCCAGAGTAGCAGGGACTATAGGCACGTGCCACCATGCCTGGCTTAATTTTTTTTCTCTCTCTTTTTTTTTAAGAGATGAGGTCTCGCTATGCTGCCCAGGTTGGTCTCAAACCCCTGGGCTCAGGCAATCCTCTCACTTCGGCCTCCCAAAGTACTGGGATTACAGGTGTAAGCCACCGCACCCGGCCTCATACCTGGCTAACTTTTTGATTTTTTTTTTTTTTTTTTTGAGTTGGAGTCTCACTCTGTCACCCAGACTGGAGTGCAGTGGCCGCTCCCAGCCACCGCAGCCTCGACCTGCTGGGCTCCAGCGATCCTTCCGCCTCAGCCTTCCGAGAAGCCGGAATTACAGGCGCGTGCCACCACGCTCGGCTAATATTTTGATTTATTGTAGAGATGAGGTCTCGCCTGCCCAGGCGGGTCTCAAACCCACGGACTCAGGCAATCCACTCACCTCAGCCTCCCAAAGGCGTGGGTTACAGGCTGAGCCACCGAGCCCGGCTAGCTCCCTCATAATTTTAGAGGCCTACCACCTTATATGTAGTCTAGCACTAACCACACTGTCATTAAGTAGCTCATGCCTAGACTGGCAAATCACATAGTCATCCTTTAGTATCCTCAGGGGATTGGCTCCAGGACCCCTTTCAGATACCAAAAAATCCAGGGATGCTCCAGTCCCTTAAAGAAAATGGTGCAGTATTTGCATATGACCCATGCATAGCCTTCATATACTTTAGATCATTTCTAGACTACTTATAATACCTAATACAATGCAAATGCAATATAAACAATCATTTATTTTTAAATGTATATTATAATTCATTTATTTTTTTTTCTTTCCAAATATTTCTGATTCATGGTTGTTAGAATCAGGGGATGCAAAACCCATGGGTATGAAGGGCTGACTATATCTGATAAGGGAC